GGATCAAGACTCACAACATATAAATAGTTCTTTTATACTTCACCCCAAAGGTGTGTTGTGAGGATTAATGAGATGATGCTTCTAATTGTATTTTGAGCTCCTTTGGTCAAAAGGTTGATTTATAAATACAAAACATTAGTTCTCCAATGAGGTCCATCCATCACTTACAAGTGGCCAAACATTCTAGATGGCCACTGTCTCTCTCTTTGACTCTCAGAGGGTTGTTCTGGGTCAATGCTAGGAAAGTGGCCATAGCCACAGCCCAGAGTTCTCCTGATTCCTTTTCTGTAGAGCTGAGTGTTTTATTGAATCACAAAGTGTTCTTTTGGGGCAGATATAGCAAGGACCTCTTAATTGCCCTAGTGCTTGAGCCTACCTACATCAATTTTCTCTTGCCTCTGGCTCCAGTACACAATATTCAGTCTTTGACTACTCATTAAACCTACAGTCTCATTTTTTTTTAGTGTCAGCAATGCAATAAAGAAAACTTTTTCTTGCTTTATTTCAAGGCGCAACACCAAATGCAAACATACTTCTGGCATTAATTTCTCACAGATGAATGTTGTTACGATATTGCTATTAGCAAGTTCACATATTTGACAGCATTTTATATGGTATTAACAGTCTACCTGCAAGGAAGCATTTTCTGCCAGCCTACTGCAAATTGCCAGCACCTGTAAGCCACTCTTCCTCAGCTTAGAAGCAGTATATCATCATTACTATGGCTGGGCCAGGGAATCACATTTGTCAATGCCTGAATTGCTCTTTCAGTTTCAGTGGCTTTAGAAACCCATTTTATTTTGGAAATGGGGTTAGCTGAATGTATTTTAAAAGATACAGAAATATACAAAGCAACAGCTAGGAGACTTGGGTATATTTAGGATGTTTTATTCTTTGGTCTGTTGAGTTTTTCAGGAAAACATTTGTGAGACTAAATGGGATATGGTGCTTTTGAGTGAAGTCTGAAAAGATTCTGAAACTTTGGAAGCCATGACGGAAGCAGTGTGCTTCTCTTCAACCATTACAAAAGTTAATAGCTTAAATTAGTGGAACATGTTTCATATGCAATCTAGAATATGTTGTACTTCCCATTGTTACATACCAAGTCCTTAGCAGAAAACAAAATTAAGTGGCATGCCCAAGGTCATAGTGCTTCTACATGGTGAAGCCAGAGCTCTGTCACTTCTGTCACTATGCCCTGTGACCTTAACTTTCATGCGGTATTGATTATAGCCTTTAGGAAATCAATACACTTTCTCGTAAGTAAGATTTGTGTTTAGACAAATATATCTAGGAATAATGCTGTGTACTATTTTCTGTGTTATACAAGAGTTCTATCTCAGTTCTTCACTTAAAAGAATGTTCAGTCCTTTGGGGTGGTTAATAAGTCTCAAGTCTTCATCTAAAGTGGAGATTGATACATATTTGTTACCTCTTTAACAATCAGTATGCTTTCATGACCTAATTAATCTCTTTATTCACTTACAAAAGGTATTTCTTCTTGGCTCTTATCCTAGGTCTTATTTTTGCCTTCAGTGAACTCAGAAATGTAGGACAAGTGATGTCGTTGTGTATTAACTTTGGAGCTCTGTGTGTATGAACCAGTTGGGTCTTAGCAGTTTCACCCGAGTTGTCTATTCCTCATACTATTTTAATTCAGCAGTGCCTGTTGTATAAGTCTCCAGGAGTTGAAATATTTGATAATATATCCAATAGTTCCAATGAAAAGGACCATAGGAGGCCAATTGTATAAAAGTCAAAATTCCCCATAAAAATGGGTTGTATAAAGACAGTCACATACACATTTATTTTTAAGTAAAAATCAGACTATCCTTTTTTTCTAAATCATCTTTCATGTAAGTATCAGATCTATGTGAACAATTTTAGATCTGTTTATTTGAAGAACTATTCATGAAAATGCAGATCCCTTAGTGTGGTTAAGAATGGCCATCATCCCTCTTTTGATCTAATTAATAATGTGCATATGCCTCCCTTAATGACATCATGACATTACTATTCATAAAGCCATCTTTCTGAGCATAACATCACTTTCTGTTGAAGAACTGTTTTCACCCTTGGTTTAAATTTTCATACTGGTTGCTATGTGAAATGTACAATGATTGTCACTAAGGATTTAATAATAGCACCAATGAGTTTGATAAGGTTTGTTCAGCCTTCAGAGTAATTCTGTGTATGATTTCTTATATTTAGAAGATTGCTCTTCAGTTGGCATAGAAAATAGAGCTCGGTGAATGAGCGCATTCTCATGCACATGTTTCTAAACAGTTCTGCCTAATGTTTGAGATAACTTAAAATTTAAAAAAAAAAAAAACCAGAATTTGAAAATAGACTAAGAATAATGTTAATGTGGCAATTTAAACCAGTTTGGTTTTCCACATCACCTTCTGTCTCTCACAGCTTTTAGCAGTCTACAACATCACTGTTCGCAATGTCAAATACTATCTGGTGTGGAAAACTTAAAAAAAAATTCTCTAAATGTCTTTAAAGCTGAGGTGGAGAAGAACAACTCCGTTGCTTCCGGAAGGGTCAGCATGGCTCTGCTATCCTCTCATCATATTGCTTGGTAGTTGTCCAACAGGGTTATCTCCTTCTCCAGACTATTCCACATCCCCAGCTAATTATCTATGGTAATTTCTATGGAAAAATGAGTGGGTCATATGTATGGGGATGCCCCTGAGGCCCAAGAGCCCCAAGTATTTGGAGGAAATGAACCAACGCAGCTTTTTAATTCCTCAATGTAGCGCATGTAGAATTCTGGCAATTTGAAGTCTCATTTTCTTGTGATCTTGCCCCACTGAGGTAGCTTTGTTTTCCATTGACTTCACTCATCTATTCCACAGTAAGTAGAATGTCCATAGGAGTGTCTAATAGTACAATTAATAATGACAGAAAAGACATGAAGTAATAGGACCTGTTCAAGGTGAATGTGTCACAACCCAATGACCATTTCTCAGTATTCTGTTGTGGTCAAAGCTTTAAAGGTGACATTGGCTGTGGTATCTCTTACCTGTAGAGAAACGGTTAAAAATTAGAGGTGTTGGTTCTTCCCAGAAAAACAAAAGCTCATTTTCTAGTGAAGCACCTGAGAATTCATCCAGTTATATTTTGGGTTAATAGAATTCTCACTACCCAGATCTACCAATGAAGTTCTTTATACTATATGCTAATTGGTAGCTGCTTTAACATGAATAACCAGCTTTGTTCATTCTGGCCTTATTGAAACACCAAGAAGTCAAATTTCTTTCCTATTATTTCTCCTTGCCTGTCCCCCTTCTTTATTGTTTCTGAAAAATTGGCATTTGGAGAAAAACTTTGAATTATGCACTGCAATCCTTAACTGTTAATTGTTTCTATTCAGTGCGTGATATCTTTTGAGAGGTTAACATGTTATGCTTTGTGTAAGCCAGATCTGGAGGATCTTATAATCTAGACTAGAATATCCCGAGATTGGTATTGTTGTTTTATATATAAATTCCTGGGTAGTCAGGATAATCAGCCTATTCTGAGAATAAACATTTCACATAAGATGTGAACGGGGAACCTTGCAAATGTGCTTGAGTTTCATTGCTGTTTTCCATCTCCATGCCCTTCCCACAAAAGGCAGGTCCTTCTTTAGTCGCAGGTGGAGAATCCTGAGTCAGTAATAACTCCTAAATGCAGACAACCTTACAAGTAAATGCCATAGCGTGCCTCTCTTCACATGATCTGACACCATATTCAAACCCTGTATTCCTTATGACTTTCAATTTTTTTCTAAATCGTTTCCAAGCCGTCTGTTTTGATAGTTCTAGTTCATGTTTTTCATATTGGTAATTTACAGTGGAGTTCCCCATTCTGAATCAGGACTGTGAATCAAAAGCAGTGAGGTATTAATCACGACTTTCCACTAAGTCCATGAAAGGTCGGTTGATGAGATAGAACAGTCCCCAAAGCATCGGTTCGTTATTTTTTTTATTTGAAGCCAATTCATTAGGGGCATATCTCTACAACATTACTTCCTAACTCTGTTCTAATTAGAGAAACTATCCAGGAGTGGTTATAACAGTTATGGTGGGAAGAGGGAGGCATGTTAGCAGTTAAAAACATTCTATTTGAGCCTGGAAACTAACGAGATATTTCATGCTTTGAAGAAATATCCCTAACAGACTTGATATAGGTAGACTTGTTGAAGATGGGTGATCTATAGATACAAGAGAGGGACTTAGGTAAATATTCAAAGTCAGCATCTCTTAGAAGCGATAACAATACAAAAATGCTACATCCCTATATAACTGCCTTTATTTCTAGATATTTTCCTTGAGATTCCCTTTTGTTAACTTAAAGAGAAGGTTAGAGGAAAAATAAAAAAGATCTAAAGGGCCCACTGTAGTGTGCTACCTGTTTAACACAGGTGATGAAATGCCAGGCCCACCTTAGTGTAAAAAGAAGTATCTTTCAGTCCTCAAAGCTGAGATTTTTTTCACTTTTTTTCTGCCAGAAACTATAAATGTTAGAAAAAATATGAGAAGAAAAATAAAAGTTAGATCATGATCCCATATTCCTGATGAAAATATAGTGGAGTAAAAACGGAGTGTACAGGCAAATGAGGAGTTTGTGGGGGGGAGCTAATCCATGTGAAACTAATCCAGCAAGTGAGTTACTCTGAGGTCTAGAGGATCCCTGTTTCCACTTGGCCCAGTTAAGGTGTAATTGGAATAAGCTGAGCCCTGAGGGGAAACCTGTAAGTGATCAAACCTGCCACTGATTGGTAACCCATGTTGCCTTGCTAAAACGTGAGGAGCGCTGCATCGCTGAGACCACGGCGTCGGCGTCGCAGAGCCAGCCGTTTCGGCCAAGAGTGAGTTCACCTCCACCTCTACTAAAGATAAATTGATATCTAGTTCTAAAATCTTCATAAAACAAATTAAAAACCTAGGATGTTTTTGGATGACATATTGACTTTTCAGATTGTTCTTTAAGCTGTTTTTTAAACTTTAAAGGCAACACTGATAATGAACGCTTCCAAATGGTAAAACAGAAAATCCCCTTCAAATATAACCGACCAGTAGAGGAGTGGCTGCAAGAAAAAGGTAACCGTCGTTAAAACTTTCATTTTAAAATCATTGGATTCTAAACCCTCATTTTTAAAGCTTGCAGATAAATGTTCCTTAAATGATAATCGCCTGCTGCATAAATGACTGTTTTAATTTTCATTATAATTTGTGTCAGCTTCCACTTGCCATATGTTGATAAATCATGCTATAATACATTGCCATTAAAATATAGTTAAAGGGACTAACATCTAGCCTGCTCTCAATGTGACAACTACAAACAAGAAATTCCAGGGACCTCTAAAAAAGAAATGTATTATGGCAACTTAACCACTGCATGACACGATTTGTTAATCTGTTTTGAATTACCTCTTACACCAAAGCTTTCTAAGAAAATTTCAAAAATTTTTAAAACTTGTATCTTCTGAGGCTGTTTTGGCTTATAGCATGTAGTGTGACTAACAAGAGAAAAATCATAGATTTACTTTTGTAACTTAAACTGCTTAAAATGAGTGTTATAAAGGGAGCAATCTATTTTTTTTTTAACATTTGTTGTGTAACAAAGAAACATGATGAATTTTGACTTTAAATTTAAACCTAAAGAGGCAAAAGCATTGTGTAAGATACTGTGTTGTAGTTGCAACCAAAGCTAAAACGAAACAACTTCACACTTTGGTTGTTTGACACCTGTGTGTCTTTGATATTTTTCATGCACCCAGTGTGTTCCTGGTTAAGACAGTTAGTTGGAGCGAGAGAGGCTCGTGAAAAACAAAGCAGTTTTTGATTGGCTGGAGAAAACAGCCACTCTTTACCAAAAAGGGCAACAGCTGTGACTGATGTTGGCGTTTTCTGTGTGACTTCTGTTTCTACAAAGATAAGCTGTTGTTTTTCAATGGAGAACCTTCTCTCTGAAACGACTCGCGTTCTGCTGTTTCTTGAGCTCCTCTTGAGTCACTCTGTCTCGAGAACATGTGTGAGCTCTTGGCATTTGTAGGTAGCTGCGTTATCTAACTGAGTCCATCACACGGTATACAGCTTAGTAACAAGATACCCCTACTGCTTTTAAGACTGTAAGATCCTACAACACAGAGCACTGTCAGTGAGTCTTAACTGTTGGCTCTATTTTCAATATAAGCGATCTAATTTAAAATAAATTAAGAATAACTCTAAACAGCAAATAATTGTGTGTCGTAATCATCATCTCTTAAAGTCCCTTTAACATTAAAGACAATGATTGTGTCACTTTTAAAAAGGAGAAGGCAAACAGATGCATGTCTGAGTCTCATGTGCCTGAGAGAACTTTTTTGTTTCTTTCAATTTTATGTTAATAATATTTTCTTTTCTTCCATTGCCTTTTGAAGTATAAGTTCAATAGCATGCCAGGCATTTTTGTTTGTAGAAACCATTATAAAGCTATTAGTAGGTTTTAGTTTTCCTTATGATAGCATCATTACTACTTGGCTTTCCAATGGGAAGATGCTTTAAAAATACACAAGCTGATGGGTCGGGGTGGTTGGGTGGAAGGGAGGCATTTTAATTTCTTAATGAAATATTTGTTTATATATGAATATAATGTTGACATTATTTTTAAACTCTACACTATTGCCATTGTGAATACTTTTTGTAATTTGGATGAGCAACATCAATTTGTCCTATTGCCTTACCTCTTCCTCTGCCTAGCTAAGTTTCCCTTCAAATGGAACAGTGCTGATACTGATATTGAGGCACTTGGGAAAGCAGTGAGCGCAAAGGGTTAAGACAGAACAATTAAATGCCTCAGGAAGGGAAGCACAGGTGCCCTGTGGGGTTATTTTTGCTGCTGGGGAAGAGTGCCGAGTCATGGCTTCCCTGACTCTGCTTTCTGGCTCTTTCTACCATTGTCTGAATTTCTGACCTTAAACAATCCACTTAACCTCTTTGTAGCTCAGATTTCCCCTCTGATGAGAAAGGAAAGAATACTGTCTCTGCCCTCAGGAAGATATGAGGCTTAATTAGTTTTTGTGCAGCACTGACTTGAGACTTTGAGAGTGAATTTAAGCAGTATGTGAATTTGATATACAAATAAGAAAACCATTGATGACTTCTAAGAAGGTGGGCACCTAAAACAAAATCAAAAGGAAACTGCTACAATTCCTACAGCAGTGTTATCGCCACATGTGGTATTGTGGATGACAGATCAGCTCTTAGATTCTACTGTACACACATATGTATAGGTATGTTGATCACTTGTTGGCCATGAGAAGGGAGAATAATGAGATATGGGACTGATTCTGAGAGGTGTTAGGCAAATGACTCTCTCTCCCCAGTTTTTGCCTCTCCCATTTAAACACCAAGGCCTGTCTAGCCAGGAGCAGTTCATCAGCTCCAGGACAAAACAGAAGAGGTGGGCATATTCCTCTGTGCCTTTATGAGCTGCTGACGGACCCAACATCAGAGGGCTAAGAGAGCTTTCTGAAAGGGAAGAAAGGCAGATTGAGCTAGGGAGAGATCACAAACAAAAATCAAGTTGAAATGTAAATAAATCCTTCCCGTTCTTACGCAAATTTTGTCTTGTTCGCAAGAAATGATTAATTATATCTCTGGAAATGGATGACCAGGAGTTGGGTACTTGGCACATTCAAAAAGTTCACATGGAATGGAAATAAAGGGAAAATGTATTCTGTTGCCAAGAAATTTTGAAATAATTCCAACTTTTTTATAATCCATATTTCCCATGAGTTTTTTTTTTTTTCTTTGCATGAACCCTGAGATATCCCAGGGAAAAATGCCAGGCTGCTACAGAGAGGTGTTGGTCTTAAGCAAACATCATCATCTCCTGCCAGGGTCATGTAGCTTTATATTTCAATTCTATGCATCAATAGAGAAATGTTTTCACTAGGAAAATAAGATGAGAACCATTATAAATATCGTCCTGTATTACTGTAATCAAAAATCATTAACTGTTCAGATTAATCACCTATTAACTGAGCACGAGTTCTGGATTACATACAAATAAATGGGTAAATATTATATTTGATCAACCAGGAGTTGTTGCATGATATGACATTTTGACATTGAGGCTGCCTGGTGCAACAGATTGTATTGTTAATCTAAATATTTACTGTTAGGAAATTTATTCTAGTTCCATCTGGTAGGCAGATTTCTCCATTTCTTCTACTTCCCTTTCTTCCATATATTGAGAAAGTATTCCACACGATATACAGAAATTCAAGGATAGCTAAACACTCTGTATCTCTGAAGGCAAGGTAATGCTAGTATTACTAGCACAACCATCACAAAACACTTCTGTTTGTGTTAGAAAATACAAAATAAGAACTGTAGTGTGTTAAACAAAAAAACACCTTCAGGTAAAAGTAGAAGGTATTCTTTACAGTGAGGTATAGCAAACATAATATGTAATTAGATGAAAAAGTACAGTTTTTTTTTTTAAGTAAAGAAAGATTCGCAAGCTATGTATTTTATTCCATTAATAATTTTTTCCATATGGAAGAGCAAAAGGCAGAGAGATAGCATGAGAGAAGCCCTTAGCATATTTCCTTATGATCAGTGATGGGTTTTTAAGCGTTTCTAGGGATTTTGTTAGAAATATTCAATGCTTGGGACTGACTTTCACAGCTAGAAAGAGTGGGAGATACTAAAATCCCACTGGTCTAAACTCCATAATGTTACTATTTCCTTCCGACAGTTTTCTGTACAACTAGTTGCAGCAGTTTCTTTATAAATACCCATTCTTGTGTTAAAAATTCATGAACTCAGGGCCTGGCATGGTAGCCTAATGGCTAAAGCTCTCACTTTGAATGTGCAGGGATCCCATATGGTCACTGGTTCTAATCCCAGGAGCCCTGTTTCCCATCCAGCTCCCTGCTTGTGGCCTAGGAAAGCAGTCTAGTAGGGCCCAAAGCCTTGGGACCTGCACCTATGTGGGAGAACTGGAAAAAGTTCCTGACTCCTAGCTTCAGATCAGCTAGACTCTGGCCATTGCAGCCACTTGGGCAGTATATCACAGATGGAAGATCTTCCTCTCTGTTTTTGCTCCTTTTTGTAGATCTTCCTTTCCAATATAAATAAATAAATCTTAAATTAAAAAAAAATATTGACTGTCATCTTTCTCTCCCTAACTGGCCAGGAACAAGATCAATGCACATTTATTTGCAAAGATTTAGTTATGTGACCATAACCCACTATGCCATAGAAATAAATATAATAGTGTATTTGTAATGATATTGTTATACAATAATACTGAGAGTATCAGTTGTTATGAAGACTCGTAGAAAATTATGTGTTTTCTTTTAACTTGAATATTCATTTTTTATAAATAGGCAATGAATTCAAGACACTAAAGTTTCATCATGTTAGCTAACTTATTATAACAATAAGACCTACTTTTTTTTAAAAAAAAAATCAATGTTGTGAGTCACCTTACTGGTTTTGTTTGCTATATATAATTCTTTTTAGTCATCATTATGCTAACTTGTAGCTTTAAAAAAATCAGTGCAATAGTCATCTATGATTTATTCTAGTGATCGCCTAATTTGGGTGTTCCTCTGTCTATAGTTATATATCTAAGAGGACTATAATATCTTTTACCATTAAAGCATATTCCATCATCCACAGAGTTAAAGGAAAAGTAGAAACTTTGTCCACCTTATCGAGAGCTTTCAGCTAGGCATTGGAAGAGATAAGTGTAGTGTAATATTATTTGCCAATGGCTGTATTGGGTTTTTGTGATCCATTCTTCTGTCCTACATTGCTCAGGAAGCCTGTAATGATGCCTGGTTTCACTGAGACCAGGTAAGGAAAATAGGAATAATGTATGGGAATAATAATATTTCCTCCACCCAACCCACTAGGCCGGCAGTTAACCATCTTCAACACCCAGGCGCAAATAGCCATTGGTGGGAAGGACAAGGGACGTCTCTTCCAAGGCCAGCTCTCTGGGCTCTATTATGATGGTCTGAAAGTACTGAACATGGCAGCTGAGAACAACCCAAATATTAAAATCAATGGAAGTGTCCGGCTGGTGGGAGAAGTCCCATCAATCTTGGGAACAACACAGACAACCTCGATGCCACCAGAAATGTCTACCACTGTCATGGAAACCACCACTACAATGGCTACTACCACAACCCGCAAGAACCGTTCTACTGCCAGCATTCAGGTAAGCCTTTGACTGAATACTATTTGCTTCTTTATTTTTCCTTTGAAATATTGCTGTTATGGCCAGTGATGTATGTAGCTAAAGAGTTTGAATCACTGTAGGATGCTCACAGAAATAAGCCTTGGTAGAGAGAAATTAAGTCATTGGCAAAGAAGTTGTAAAAGTCTTATGACATCCAAGGTTATAATTTCTACAATATTTGTCACTGAAATGGTAATGCTGTTATTCAGAAAGAGCAATGAACTACAGTTTCACATGAAATACACCCTCCTCTCGTTATATTTTTCAAATAGAAGAAATAAAAGGGAAAGAAAAAAATGTGTTATTATACACAAGATTATATCCAGCTTCAGTCCTATTCATGTCCTCCAGATGGCTTTGCTAGATGAACTGTTCATTATTGAAGTGCTGGGCACCTTCAAATCAAGGGCAGTTAGAGCTAAAAGTTCAACTAATCCTTGTAAAATGTAGCCTTCGCATTTACCATTAAGTTTTGATTAACCACTTGTCATTTTTGGCTCATTTTTTCCCTTTGTATTTGACCAGGATACTAATTACATTAGAAAATCTGAAGGTTTAAATTTAGCTAGGCAGGAAGTTCTTAGTTTTGTGGTAAGCTTGCTGTTTCTCTACTTGAAAGTAATTATATCCAAGCTCAGACTTAATACTTAGCCAGTTCCCTTGGCATTTCATAAATCTAGTTAGTAGGGGTAAGAGGTTAATCGAGTTATTAGCCTTAAATGCTCTGGCATAAAATAAGACATTCCAATTGCTTGTGGGGAAATTACCCCTAGCCTAGTTACTGTTTGGAGAAAATCCTGGACATCAGTACTTGTCCCTCCTGCTTCTCGGTCGTAAGGTATTATCCATGAGCCCAATTCCGTCTTTGACATCACCATCCATTGACTCCAATGGCCGCTGGAAATTTAAAGTCAATAACCAATTAAACCTTTCATGTATTGCCATTTTTCTGAATTAAGTTTATGTGAGTTCGGTAGAGGCAAATCTGTTGTCTTTTACTTTTTCCTTGAGTATAAATACATAGACAGCTCCCTACATGCCTTCATAGTCACAATTTGAAACTATATGCACTCATGATGCTATCAGCCCAATTTTATGTGTTTTCAAAACGAAGATTCTGTCTCGCATAACATTCTTAAAGTCACTCCGTGCATTCCTACGCACATGTTCAATAGGGGAAGAAAAAAAATAGCTCCTTTCTCCTGGTATTAAAGCAATAATTCCTGACACTTCACTCTACTCACTGAAAAGAAGATAAAAGGCAATATATGTTTCTATTATGAGTCTCTGTAGCTCAAGAGCAGATCTGTTGATTGTTGGTGAAAGGATGGTTCTGTTTGCACAGGTCTTGGCAGACTGGTTTTGTTTCTGTCAGAATATATTCTGTTAACTCTGTGGGAAGCAGAGGAACAAATGGCTTTTCTCCATTATAATGGCTGATCCTGAGGTCCTTTTGAAGACCAAATTTTCAGTGACTGGAAGAGGATTTAGTGGTGCCCAGGGATTTGGGGGATAAGGAGTGGTACTGGTCTGTTTCTGGCTTTCTCTTCAGCAACACAAATGTAGATGGGAACAAATTGGATGAGTTGCTAAACTGTACAAACCACTGCAGGACTTCAGGGGAAGAATTCAGTACACAAGTCTTGCTAGTGACTTGATTCTGAATGTCAGCGGCATTGTGGAGGAGGAAGACATCTGAGAATGGCCTCTGAAATGGCTTCCCTGGCATATGTGTTTCTTTCCCGTTGATTCCGTCAATAAGTGGATTATGCCTACATGTCTTTCCCTTTACATCTACAGCGGCTATTCAAACATCTGTGCACACCCTTGTGTTTAAGAGTATATCAGTACATATTCTAGCAGGGTTAATCAAACCGATATGAAAAATAACAAAGTAGTACCTACATGTAAAATAAATAAGTAAAAACAGAGAGAGAGAACGTGCGAGCCATTTTGTTCCAAATGGTTTTGGACTTCTTGTTTTATTTGAAAGACAAAGAATGAAAGAGGGACAGAGATCTTATTCTGTCATTCCCTCCCCAAATTATCAATATCCAGGGTGGAGCCAAGCCCAAGTGAAGCACTGAGAACTCTGTGTGGATCTCCCCAAAGATGGCAGGGACGCATCTACTTGCACCATCACTGGCTGCCTCCCAGGGTGCACACCAGAAGGAAAATGTAGTGAGGATTAGGAACAGGACTCAAAGCATAAACATGTTAATGTGGCATACAAGTATCTCAGGTGGTATGCTATGTATTGTACCAAACATCTCAGTCTTGGACCCTTTTTTTTTTTCCTTACCAACTGGCTATGGAAAATCTGCACTGTATTCTGTGAAACCTCATCTCCAAGCTTACCATGATTTCAGGTACATTGCAAGCATCATCTGAAGCCTGTGTTAGAGCTAATATCCCACCAAGTCCTTGGATTATACCCAAAGTTTAGGATAATTTGTAGTGACTTTACATGGAAAAGAACACTATAGTAAACAATAATATTTCTGCATCTTCTAGCTAATGTTCTTCCCTGATTAGAACTTATTAAATATCTGATTGCTAGGAGATACCTCAGAAAGGAAATGAATTTCATATTCAATATTCCCATCATGTATTTTTTTCTTCTATGTATGAAATGAAAAATCCATTGGCTGCTTCTTCAGTCATATCCTAGGAAGGCATTATTTGAGCAGTTCATTTCTTATGGACCTTTGCTGATGTTGATTTCAGATCAAAGGAAAACAGTAAAACACATTGCCTGCATGGGTGCTTTTTGACTGTGTGTGAACGTGAACAAACAGTTTTTGAGTAATTCTCCAATGCCCTAGTCTCCTGGAAGTAATTGATGCTTTGATCTTTCTGATATTTCAATTTGCCACAGGTAAGATTTCAGAACTCCTTGAGAATGGCATGAACTATATTGAATTACAGCTGTGGTACCCAAGCTTCAAGTTTTGACCCTATTTTAAGATTGCCTCTAGGTACTGCTTGAACAACAAAATACTTGTTAAGATGTGCATTAAGGAAACAGGTAGATAAGTGATAATTCCAGATGAAACTCTGCCATATAGTTTGTGTTCAATAAGCATTTTTGGATCAATCAAAAAATGATTCAGACTTTTTTACTTGTAATCTCTTAGCAAGTGGAAGTAGCATAGTTTTCCCTCCAATTTGATCTGTGGGCTTTGGATGTTTTTCCCAATGGTAAAACTATAGGATAATGATTTAGCTTATGTGCTTGCATTCATACTTACTGCATTTAAAACTAGCTAATCTGCATGGCAGCTAAGGACAACTGGGAACTCTCTATATAAGTTCCAGGTAACTATTTCCATGAAACAAACTTTCCTACAATTTGAAGGCTAAAGACAACAAGTGTGTCATTAGAATTTAAAATTCCTCCAGTGAGAAATTTGGTCAAGTTTAGTGACGCAATTCCTCTGCCACACATTGCCTGAGATTATTCGCTAGCTACCCATAGATACCTTGTTGCTTGGAGGATTAACTAAGGAGACTTGCTCAGTTGATCTCCATATGGTCTCTCCCACAGACTTGTTGGATTCCTTTGAGGCCAAAGCTTCCAGAGAATATTTCAAGGGATGGGAAGTAGAGGGATTGCAAATTTCTATAGTCCTGGAGACTGATACTGTGTCTCTTCCAGCAAAATCTGAGAACTCAAAGGGCTTTCTCAATCAGGAGAGGAGATACAAACTTGATGTCTCAACAGAAGGAGCTTTATTTATTTGAACGTAACTTAAGTATATCTCACTGCAAAGAAAGGGGGGGCAGGGATGCAGAGTACTCACACTGCCTATAATACTAAATTATTGTAAAGATTTCTAGGAAAATATGAGTAGAATAGAAAGCAAGTATATTAGATAAAGTGAGATTTTCTATATTTTAACCCCTATTTTATCACTTCCAAAATATGGTGTTAAGAGAAGTGTGGTTTATCTCAGAAAATGAAGTTGCTTCTGTTGACAGTAGTAGTTCTAGTTCAGGGTATAAGAGGCTAGGAGGAGTTCAGAAGCAAGGATTTGGAGTAGGGTCACAGTAGAATTTAGAAGCTGAAATTTGTCCTGGACAAGCAAAGATTACTGTGCCCTCAGGAATAGACTTCTTTGATAGCTCTTTACTTTTCTTGAGTTTTCTCGTGCATTATTTTGGGTGTTATAAAGCAGAGGTTCCTGGCTCTCTTGAGTTAGCACTTTAAGGAGCACAAGACAGTTTGGTACTGTGATAGAGATTTAAGAATGGGTGTGTATTGTTGAGGGCAAGGAAAGCATTTGCTGTTACTTGTGGCTGAGATGAATATAAAGCTAGGTCTCGTAGATGTTATATGCTTTGTGAACAGAACAAATTGTCATTTGAATGTGAGAAACTAAGCTGTAAAACATTGGGGATGATCGCTTCCTGGTAAAGAGAGTCAAGTCCAGTGATGATATAAAGTGGATGGGATCTTGGGAATCCTGATACTGAGATTCTTGACCAGAAATTCTCCCAAATGGGAGAAGACCCAGAAGGTGGATGGGCGGGGGGATTGGATCCTTTCTGGATCTTACCGGTAGGGATGCTGTAGCAGTTACGTGGACACTTCCAATTGAACTGACTCCATTATCAATGGATGAATGTTAAGACACAGATAATGCCACTTCGAAAGTTCAACTCAGCCAGGACTCAAACTTGTTCCCTCATTCAGGACACAAAGAAAACATGAGAAACAGAAGTTTTACCACTTAGTTTCAGATGCTGCAACTAAAATGTTCCCACAAGAAAGGAGAAGGCCAAGAGGAAAATAGTTCCAAGAATAACATGCATTCTTCTAGCTCAGGCCTCCAGCCTCAGTTGCTATCAGCAAAGAAAGAGTTCAGTGTGTTCTGTAAAATTACAATTTGGAATTGCTTGTAAGCTATTAGCAAATACTTATTATGACCCACTTTTTCATTGCTGGATATTGGCAAAGTCACCTTGACATTGACCAG